GATTCATTTTTAGTGGCAGCTCATGATCTTGAGTCCCAGGACTGCGTTGAAATGCGCCGGGCCCCTTCGCGTCAATGCCCGACACCGTTTCGTATTTCAACTGCTCGTGAATTGTAGGACCACGAGGACGGCGCCCTTCCCGGGGACGCTTTCTGGTGGCGCCTGTTTTTCAAAAACCTCCGCGGCGCGGCGACAAGATAGCCCTGGTGGTTGCAGGCTGCTTGACTAAAATGGGTTGTGCATTCCACAGCAAAGGGTTGAACCAAGTGCGTCCTGTTAGCGCAACGTGTCATGTGAGGCAACGGCTTGTACTCCGCATGGGACGAGGAAGATTTGAATTGGCGCATCTTCCGGCCTGAGGCAAGAAAAAGGCAAAACAAACATGTGTGCATACACATGTTACCAAATTAAAACGCATATAGTATGCAAATTGTGTTTCTGTTTCAACCATTTTTTGATGACCTGTGCTTTCCGCTCAGGCATGGTGCAAGGAATCGGGGTTGATTTGTCGATAATCGACATCGTCAATAGACACCCCTCCGGCGGGGCCTGGTGCACTTGAGTTTGGTGATCCCTCTAACAAGCCATTGCGTGGCCGGGTGTGAGGCTCTGCCCTTTTAGTGCTAGGCCCAAAAGCATGCTACACACTTGCATGTGACGAGCACCATCGAACCCAGGTCTCTGTTTAGGTCGAACCTTGATGATCCTGCCAAAGCTAGCGCAATAGAAGAAAGTGAATGAGCACCTAGTGGCGGGAAGGTTCGTGACTGGAAATCTGGAGACAGCCCAATATGGCTAATTTTTTGTTGTCCAAAAGAAGCAACGACGAGTTGCTGAATGAAAGCAAAATCCAATGCTCACGTGGATGAATTGCCTTCATGATTGTGCACCAGCACGGAAAGTATTTGCCCCAAGATGGGTTCCAGTAACAACCTTCATGGACCTACCTTCCAAAGGGCAGGGAATGTAACTGTTTCAGCGTGAGTTCTCCCCCTTGGATTCCGTGTTTGGTGTGTCGAAGACATGAACTCTTTGCTTCTCCTGTCACCAGGACACAAAGCCAGGCGCGATTCGTTTTGTGAGTGGCACACTGGGACATGGCCTTTCTCAAGAGCCAATTCCAACAACGGCTTTGGGACCGGGAGCCCATCGGACTGCAGTCGGTCCAAGATGAGATGTTCACCGTGTGAAGTCAGGGGCGATTGGGGAGGGAACTGACTGGTGTTGGAGTATTCTTCATGTTTTTGGTGATGTCAGGGTGGTCATCGATGTGAAATAGCATTGGGCCTCATTTTGGGCACCCAACAGAACTGATGGGAGCGCATCCATGGGAATGTGCCCATTGATGTTTGGTTGCACCTCATGTGGAGGTATGTCTAGAGTTTGCAATTTGATGGCACAAATGATATGCAGCAGTACCGAACATTGGTATGACCGAGCGCCACGCTGAAGCCAATGTCTCTGCGGGGTGTGACACGCTGCCCCACTGAACGGTGGAAATTGTTGGATTGATTCACTGATTCACCCCAGTTTTCAACTTGTGAGAGGTAAGACCAGCACCTGCGGCGAAAACTGCGAACAAAACATCATTGGAATCCATTCCTTTTTCGGGTTTCGGCCTGGTCGGCCCGGACTGAACGCCGGGGAGGCCCAGTTTATGTTGCTTATGCTTGACCTCTCCACTGTGGTATCCTAAGATCGGTTGTCCAGGTCGACCAGCCAGAGATGAGGCCGGAACTGTGGGGGCAGGGTCCTGGGGAACAAATGGAGAGGAATTGTGTCCACTGGATGGGACTAAAAGCCATTCCTTTGGAACTGCTGGAATGTGTTCATCAACTCTTTGCGAAGATGTGTGGAACGGAGCAACACTTGGGTGCGTCAAAAAGGATCAGCACCCCAAATTGTGGTGGATGAACACTTCTGGTTTGACTAAAGCACACTAAAACAGTTCTGGGGCTTTGCCAGAATGATGACGCCGCAGAGGTTTTTAGGCTTGCAGATTCAGAGGATCTGCCACGAGCAGTGGACCTTGCAAGGAATTCAGAGGCTCCAGAGGATTTCTTCGATTTGATATTCATAGGGACTCGATTCTCCGGATCAGAAATCAAGGTCTCATTCAAGGATCGCCAGGTTCTCAATGAGGATTCAGACTCTATATAAATAGACATCTACTGTGTAGAACTGTATAGAAATGTGTATATCTACACTTATTGAGAACCTTATGGAATGAGTGTAGGTGTTTGTTGACGTGCGTACGGCGCAGAGCGGGCTTTCGAACAAGCTCGAGACCGCCACCGAGTTTTTGGATTCACTGTGGAGCCCTGGTACAGTGAGCCTATGAAAAGTTTGTGGGCCCCAAAGGAGAATATCTCCAAAGCGCCAGGTGAAAGTGCATCGTTTACTGTAAATTCTTCCTTGTCCTTTTTCTTTGTTTCTAGTAGCGATGGCCTCCACCCTACTTGCCATGGCCTCCACCCTACTTGCGTTGGCCTCCAACCGATCTTGTGGGTCTCTTTTGGGTTGAGCCATCGGCCTGTGCTCTGATCGCGAGGTCCGCCGAGAGCGGAGCAGGCACGGGGAGCTATCCGTGCGGGTTGTGACCGGCCGTGGGTGTGCGGAGCTACACTGACGTTTGGGTCAGACTTTGGAGTTGGACTGCCAGACGAAAGGCTGGTTTGTTTGATGAATCCCAGCATTCATAGAAATCTGATAGGGGTGGGTCTAAAAATGATGGAGTTCCCCTCTTTCCGGCTTGGTACTGTAAGTGTTTCTATTTTGAGGCCCAACCAGATGACTTGCGAATGAATACCAGGACAGCAGATGGGGTACTTACCATCGCGGCACAGGTTCTTACGCTCAAACAACTTGTTGGGATGGGACATGTATGGTAGAGTCTAGATCTCTACAGTAATCCAACAGCAGATCCACATGGTGCAGGAAACTCTCATATTCCAAGCATGGTTGACATGTCATCAGCAGTGGGATACTGTGAAGATTTCCAGGGCAAGTCCCATGACAAGCAGATCCAATTGCCGATGGCAAAGAACTGAATTGCCTCCATATTTGACCAAGGTGGTCGGTTAATGTGAGTCAAGGGTTGTGGGCATAGGTATCCAACAAAAATAACAATATCATAAAAATAAGAGGATCAAAAAACACATAAAACGCGACTCAAAAAATACATATTCCTTGATAGGCCTCTTCTGCTGCTCTCCTGGCCCTGTGGTCTGCGGGTCCTCTGGTAATGAGGTCCCTTGGTCCTTTGGTCCCTTGGTCCTCTGGTCCACTGGTCCTTTGGTCCCCTGGTCCCTTGGTCCTTTGGTCCACTGGTCCCCTAGTCCTCCGGTCTCCAGGTCCTCTGGTCCTGTGGTCCGCTGGTCCCCTGGTATCCTGGTCCTTCTGTCTCCTGGTCCGCTGGTCTCTTGCTCTCCTACTCCGCTCGTCTTTCGGTCTCCTGGTCCCCTGCTTGCGCAAATAGAGGCTTGATTGCTTTCTACTAGAAGCAGCTCCCTGGGAGGAAAGTAGGTACCCAATGATGGTAGCCGTCCAGTCATTGAGTAGCCGTACTCGAAAAATGGTCCACCAGTAGAAATAGCTCCCTACTAGGAAGGAGCTTCTAGGGAGGTACACTCTCCTAGTCCCCTACTCCTTCCATCCTCTTCCCTTGGTCTCCTAATCCTGCTACTGCTACTGCTACTACTACTACTACTACTACTACTACTACCACCCCAACCATCCTCGAATATATTTTTTTGTTTGATTCCCTTTTTTTATTGATCCCCGTTGAATATTTGATTCTATTTTTATTTTTATTTTGATCCCTTACCCCCCAGGGTTGTGGCATTTCTCGTGGTGGAAGTTGGATTGCCTTTCTGGCTGTCGGGTTGGGTCGGGTTGCCCACGAGACTAGGATCTTACTTTAGAGTTTGTATGAGTTTTGGTTTGTACAATGCCCTCCCAATTTGTCACTGATCGCGGAGATTTTCAGGACCCTCCCCAAACAGGAACAATCAGAAACAATTCTTCTCTTCGGTTCTTTTTTGGACCCTAAGGGGTCTGTCGTGAGCGAGAACCGTGTTCTGAAAGCGAAAGCGAACGCTCCATGATGAGCGGATCCGCAGGAGCCGGAACCGTCGGCGGCCAAGCAAAACAGCAAACGACACCCTTATGAGAGAGAGAGAGAGAGGTCCTTTTGTTTTGGAGCTTCCCAAGGCCCGCTTTCCTTGTAGCTACACTTTCGCGCGCTTTGATGCATTTGGATGTAGACCAGCCTCCGAGCAACGAGAGTCTCGAACTTGGATGTTGGGGTAAAGGGTACTCCACATTTGCCTGGCAAGGACACTGGCAAGGCAACTCAATAGCAAGAAGCTACTAGTATAGTTCTTGACATTACTACTAGGGGCAAGGACGCTACTAGTAGCTCCTGGCCTTAACAAGGGCATCAGCTTGTGCTTCGAACGCCGTGCTCCCGGGCTCAAGCTGTCGCCCATCGCGCTGACCGCCGCGCCGACACGCCAAGCGCGTAGACAGACAGTGCTGGGGTCCTCAGTTGTCGGTCACTTCGAGCCGTCTCCCTAGTAAAGCCCTAGTTTTCAGCTCAATTGAAGACTTTTCACGTGGAACATGACGCGAAGAAAAGGCAAAAGGCACTCACTGTACGGTTTGAAGGGATAGCAGGTACCAACTTCTCCCATGCGATTTCGCCGACTTGGCAGGGTCAGTCCACCTGGCAGCGAGACATCCGGCTGGGTGGAACCCCGCTTGATTGCACCAACGGAGACCCCAACTTCAGCTACCAGGCAGTCCAGTCTGCACGAAGCCGTCCTCTCTCTGCGGCGTTTTTCGAACCGCCCCCCGACTCCAACGTCACCAAGGGCAGCTTGCACGAAGGCCGCGGGTGCAACTTGCACCGCGCAAGCGCCGTTTTAACCAGCTTTTCCCACAATGAATCCCCTTTTGAAGGCTTGGTGCCCCTTCAAGCTCTCTACCCAGGTGAGACCATGGATGCCAAGGCCAGGTGTTTGAGTCGGTGTCGGATGTCGGATGTGGTGCGAAAAGGTGGTGCTCGGTACACACGTCGGTCAGGCCGATGGACCGGATTCCTGTGCGATAGAGCTCAACCGAGAGAGGGGTCTGGCGACGTCTCGGGATCGGAACTGGGTGGGCGAACGGTCAGGAAGCTCAGCGACAGATCGAGCAGATGAAGGCGCGGAATCGGGAGCTTGCGCCCAACACACGTGGAGGTCACAGCTTCTTTTTTGTTTGTCAGAGTTTGAAGAAGCATCTTGAAGTGTATAGTGTACAGTAACTTTTTTGCAACTTCCTTTGATTTTGAGTCTGCAGTCTTTTCAGCATTGCTCAATTCGTGTACAGTACACAGCCAGAAAGATTCATATTACGGGCTTTATTCATCAGGCGTCGACATGATGTCAACCTAGGAATGTTCGGTGGATGTGATGGATGTGATGGGCTGGTCTATGTGGAGTGTGATGAAAGCACGAAAGTTGGTACTTCTTGGCTTGGGATTGTCTCCCCAGAAGCCGCAAAGATCATGACACCTGCCACAGAGCGTTGGGTGACTTGGGTGGCCATCAAGACTGACACGACATCATGAACGTATCAGTAGTTTTATTCATTTATAGTGATCCCCAGATAGATAGGAACGGCTTCCAATACATTTTTAGTAGGTATCTACTTTTCTATCTATTTGGGCACCACTGTATTTCTGGTTTCTGGCTGCTTTGTCAACTTCTCTTTGGGTTGCGGATGGCTGTGGGGTGAGTGGAATGACTTGGCCACTCAAGGACTTCATCCTCGCAGAGGCCAAGGACAAGGCCAGTCAAGGGCGCCTTTGTTGGATGCCGACGATGCGCTTCGATATTTCTTGGTCCAGTCGATGGTTCAGTTCGGGTCACAGAAACATGAACAGATTGGACTACCGGGGAGGTCAACCTACCAGGGTCAACCGGGCTCCAGGTTTTGACCACAGAATTATATACTGAGATCGACGGCCTGGTTTTGTCTCTTCAAAGCCTGAAGAAGCCAAGGAATTCACACAGAGTTTGATCTCGGTGGGGCCTGCCAGCCCTGACGGGAAGGACAACACTAAAACCTAGGTTTGTGGAAGGTTTCCAGGTTTCAACACAACGACTGCACGACTGCACTTGTAAACAGTGTAAACTTGCACCAGGCCAGTGACATCAACAAGAAGTGCGAGGAGGATTTCAGCATTGAGGCCGTGCCATATTTCAGCTTCTTGTTGGGATGTCAGGCAGTGCATGAGCTAAACCCGTGGCCTCACTGCAAGGCTGCCAAGTCTTTTGGGCACAAACACACATTAACCCAATTTCTTCTGTTCCTTTTGTTTGCGTCCCTCATTCTTCCGAGCAAATTGCACTATATACCTTGTGTTTCAAATTCACACGGGCATGGCACGTCCATTGGCATCATTCTCTCCTGAGGCATTGTGAATATTTTCATATATGCTCAATATACAGAAGGTGGGACAATCCAACAAGCAGAGGAAACGAGTTGTATTCCTGGATTGCTCCAGTCTTTATCTACCTTTGGGATGACGGACCTCTTCGACCAAGACGTATGCAGACAACTGGATCATACTGGATCTATTGATTTGTTTTTCCATGAGAAAGAGTGAACATATGTAAGAGACGCTACACACAGGTGGAAGTATGTGTCCTCCCCCAATCTGCAGTGATCCCTCAGTCGGTGAAGAAACTCCGCTGCCGAACGGTTCGCTCGGTCCAGTTCCGGTTCGTCCGCAGGTTTACCGCCTCATCACGGAACAGAAGGATACTTGTATCTTTTTTTGGGGGGGGGCGGCCTCCTGTGGGCTGCCACGGGCATTTTGTTGTTGATTTAAAAACTATTGTTTTTCCGGCACCGGGGGCTCCAGGTTTGGTGCGCCTGGCGGGGGCGGGTGGGATTTTCAAGATGATCTATTTAGTTTGAATGGACTGGATCCTTTCCTGTGGGGCTTTCAGGCAAGTCACACAGTGATTCTTCCTTGAGCACCTTTTCTTTGGACAAATTGCACCAATATTGGGGTGGCTTGCTTGTCGGACACATTTGCTTGGGTTGTGGTCAGATCTTAGTCTTGCCAATTGAACGAGGCAACAACCAGCTTTTTACTCTGCGAATCCATTGGAGTCATGCGCAGGAGAAGGTTCGCCAGACCTACGAGAAGAAGACCAAACAGATCGAGACGCAGTGCGCCAGTGTGGCTGAAGTGGAGCCGCAGGTTGATCAGCCGCGACTACTTGCAAGCCAGCAGCAACACTGGCCTTCCCCACAGCTGCATGTCGGCTCCGAAGCAATGATTTCTGGCATGCTCAGGATTGAACACATTGCCAAGCATTGCCATGCATTGCCATGCGTGAGGTAGCCCAACTGGAACCAACTCTTCCATGTGCTCCCCCAAACCCTTGCCAGGTGGACTTTCCTGGTCCGGATAGTTTCGCTTGATGAACAGGGCCCGATCACCGGGAGGTATGCCATCGCTAGATCGATGGCCATCAACAAACAGCGCCTCGAGAAGATCAAGGCACCGCAGCACATTGCCCAAGAGCTGGAAAGGGGAACTATGGAGACAGTATATTTATATGTCACAGATTTATTTGTATTAATTAATATTGAAGGAGATCAGGGAGACGCCCGAAAACTCCAAGGACACTATGGACTACAACCTGGTTGTTGGAGGATCTCTCTCTATTCAAGGATTCTAATATATTCTAATGACAACCCATATACAGATTTCATGCTCACGTAGGATTATACAAAAAACACTAGGATAGGTGGTCATACATTTTTCACTTCGAGTCGTTCTATGCACTTTGGGTGGCTCCACAAGCAAGACCCGCTCGGAGAATCCATCGAGTTGAGCTGCCCAGTTTTGCAGATACACAAGCGCTGCATCTTTGCCTATTGACACTTTTTGACCACCTTCCTTGATCATTTGGATCCCTTTGTCCTTTGTGTGCAAAAGCTGCTCACCCCTGGTTCACCCCTGGTTCACCCCTGGTTCTTGGCCAAGCGTCCTGCTGGCCCTTTGGGGCCCAAAGGGGACCATGGGTCGGGGCCGGTCTCGTTCGTGGCAGGCTCGCCAGGAGGTCATGCACAAGGCCCAGTGACAGTGGAGGAGAGAGGTCGAGTGATGATTGGAGATTGGGAAGGGAAGACCGTGGTTAAGCTAGGGCTTTGTGTCCCACTCATTGACGTGGCGCGGTTTGCCACAAATTTGAGAGAAAGCTATGGTATTTGGAAAGTGGGGTTGTTAGGACAGCTTTCAGGAATTTTCAGAGGCTTTTTCGAGGCCTATGTCCCCTTTAAAGTAAGGTGAATAGGGAGCCGGGGGTCTTTTGACATGCCCAGTCCTTTTGGGGAGCCGATCCCAGTTTTCTCGTCCGATGGATCAATAGGCTTTTTGGAAGGAAGGGAGGACCCTTTGATTAATTGGTCTTGGCCAAACCTGCTGATGTTGACCTAGGTTGTTTCATTAGCGCAGGTGAGCGATTGACTTCTTAGCATCAAGGGCCTAAAGGGTTCAGTAACAGCCTTGGGGCTGCTCTGAGCCTCATTTCTTTTGTCCGTGTCTAATATTTGTCCCTGTCCTTTGCCAGATCCTCTCGTTCTTTCATGCAGTTCTACAATGTTCTACATGAGGGTTCGACACAGTGTACTGTAATTCACCCGACGCCTGCGTCCTTCTGTTGACCAACAGGCCTCCAATGAAAGTTTTGCCCGGTTTGACGGCTCAGCGCTGCCAGATTGCTGCAGATGCTCAGGAAGACATCGTCAAGGACAAGAGACAAGACTCAGTTTGTTTTGTTGTCGCGTTCTGGCTCAACCTCGCAACACAGAATGATCCACAAGCCTGGCAGACTCCCTTTGGACGTGGCCCAAACCTTTGAGAGTTGACTCAGAAAACGTGAGTGTCCGAAGGAGTATCCGAACCCACATCATTTTTGGTTGAAGAAGGTTTTTTGTTCTCTTCGTGGAAGACATTCTGAACAACAATGTCTGTACAACCCACCGATCTGACCGTTTGACCCTGGCGAAGATCGTGGACAGGAGCTCCAGAAAGCCGACACCGGCAAGAAGCTCCCTGGACCGTTGAACGAACGAACGAACGTGTTTTAGAACTGTCCGACACTTTCGGTCGACACGGTCTACACGACATGAACGGGCCATTTTTTGAAGATACATGAGTCATTAGATGGTTTATTGGCAGACCATCCACGCATATATACATAATAATATAGATACAAACCTATGGGCTTGTGGTTGAGTGTCATGTTGAGAGAAACCCTCGTTTCTCGCAGAAGCTTGAGGCAGGACCAGCGGGATTCTAGGCTCAGGCATTTCACATTATCATGGACTTCAGTATCTCTTTCTGCTGCAGATGATACTCATTTTTGATTGCCGCAAGTTATTGATGTGCAACCATCAAACCCTTTGTTGGGAAGTGCATCAAACCCTTTGTGTGTAACAGAGGACCTTGTCCCCAATGGACCTGGCCGTAGATGTCATGCGAACGCACTTGCTCGGATCAAATGACTCAGTTTTGATGCTGGATAGCTCTTGGAGCCACCTGTTGCAGTTGCATTCGGAGCACCTTGATCACTCAAAATCATCATTCACCTTGGTCAGCTCTCTCATGCCATGGCTGACATGGCTTCGCAACGTGTTGAGGTTCATTACCCAGTTGCTGCTCCAGGGCATGCTCATGCTCTTGGAGAGCGAGGTGTGGGAAACCACGTTGGGCCTAGCCCGTGGCCGGTGTTGGTCCCGACCGCTCGGAGTCCGCCGTGACCCGGAACAGCTAGCCAGGTGGTGGTGCGATGCCGACAGCTTGGGTGCCCGGCGTTTGCTCGTTTGGTCGAGACTGAAGGTGCAGGTTTAGAATTTTGGGAGGTTCAGAGTCCAGAGGGTTCATGTCCTAATGAGGAGTCTAAACTGGGAGCCCTGGTCCACCATGTGCGAACAACCGGGTGGTAATCTCAGAGGGGTGAACGGGATGGCGATGGTGTGAACAAATAGACCACAGACACCGACAATCAATTTGCACTGAAGGACTGCTGAAAAGAATTGCATGGTAACCAACGCACTGTAGATGAACATGGTTTGATTGGGTCAACCAATGTCGCGTGTGGCTCAAGCCAACATCTCCATATGGCAATGTCCTAGAGTCCTAGAGGCCCTTGGTCATACACGAGCCACCTATGCACCCAATGCTGGATTCAAATGTCTGAGACGCATTTAGGTCTGACCAGAGCTTGGTCCAGAGCTGCTTGAAGGACAGGCCATTGTCATTTGGTGGGATATGTTCATTGAAGAAAAGCTAGATGTTCGTGGAGGGGAAGAATACCTGGAAGGCATTCCAAAAGCCCCAAACAAGGTCTTGAAAGGATGCGAGGTGTCCATGTCTCCACGATCTTCAATGAGGGCGCAATCTCGGAAGCCATCGTGGGTGTGCAACAAAGGAAGAACCAATCAAATGGCTGCTTGCAAATGTGCTTCCCGCACAGCCGCACCAGCCAAATTTATTGTAAACGGGTCCGACCAATGATCTTCCAACCTCATGATGTGGGCAGTTGCCTTTTCCCGACATGGATGGCCAGAATCATGCACGGCATTTCATGGTCGCCCTCTGCAACTGGACCTGTGTCCCCCAGGAGGCCTCGGATCAGTACAGCAGTCTCATCAAGCAAGAGACTGGCGCGTCTAAGGTGGTTTCCCTAAGTGGGGAGGTGATGGAAAGAAGAGTAGAATGTGTTGAAAAGCACTATATGCACTGTTTCCGTTTCCGGGCCTACAAGATTTGCACGAGTGGTTTGTCATTCATGAAGAATGGGCCAGTTCGGGCTGTGTGTTGCAAGACAAATGAAATGACCGGATGAAAGAATTACACATCATCGGATTATGTGAGTTCCAATTTGGGAAGAAACATGAAGAAGGTGAGCAAGTGGCATTTCAGCCTCACGCCCCTCGTTCTTCTGAAGCAATGAATGATGAGTTGCGATGGCCTCATCCCCCAACAATGGGTCCTGGTTATCCCGTGCTGATGCCCAACGGTTTACACTCTTTGGGAGGTGGAACATTGCTCCTTGGAAGACCCTTTCCTGTACACATGGGGGTTTTCCAATTTCATGTAAGTTCCAGGGAGAGGCACCTCTTTGAATGGATTGGGCGAACTCTGTTTCGCTGTTCACTTAAATCAATCCATGGGAGTCCAAAGAGGTGCGTGGTTCACAAACGTTCTTGGGGGTACACAACAGTCACTTCCTAGTTTGGAGGTTTGCAGCTTTTCGAGTTTTTCTTGGAATGTTCTAGCATGTGCTAGCCTAGATGTTGAGTGTCCACCGAGTCTGGGGACCTGCTCCGCCTCCATGAAGCGCGCCAGGCCTGCGCCTTGACCATTGACAAGACCTACTTGCCTCCGGCACCCGCCTGGGGCCTCACCTGGGAAGGACGCTGCACGCCACGAAGGGCTACGAACGACGAGCTACGAGCTGTGCTACGGCAGCTACAGTGGTCCAAGTAGATAGATGGTGTTTGGAGTTTGGAGAAGCTGAAAGACTGTTTGTTGCACCCAGCTGGGGTGCACTTGCTTGAAATACATAAATTAACATGATTTATACATCGGCAAGCATGTATGTTAATTAAGGCCTAAAGCTTGAGGTGCGAGTATCATGCAGGCAACATACCCGTAGCAGTGAAGGGAGCCTCGAATTGAAGTCTAGTACTACAAATTTCTGTGTTTGACAGAGTAGCTGAGTAGCTCTGCACAACGAAGTTGTCAACCCCACAGTATTGCAGGTTGCCATTTTCAACAGTAGGGAAGCATTCCCAAGACATGAAGAACTGCTTCATTTCTGCCCAGAAACAGGAGCAGGAAGTTTTTTGATGCGCAGTCAATTCAGATGGCCACCAGGTCTATGTGTACAAATGGCACAATCTCTAGCCGCTAGTACGCGGCATTTCAACGGCTCAATGAGTTGAGAGGGGGGATGAGCCATGCACTGTGGCTCCAATTTCTTTTTGAAACACATCAGTGGTGGACTCGTGGTTCACCCAGAGCTAGAGTCAAGCTCGATTCCAAGGAACTGGTATACATATAACTGGGATTCATCAGACAATGGAGGAACCCCTCTCGGATTCTGGAAGAGCCAGGGTGTTGAGTCTGTTCTACACTGAATATAGATCGCGCTTTGGTGGGTTGGAAGAGCTTCTGGACCGGGGCCTGTCGTGTACTCCCGTACTCCGGTGTCAGGTCCCGGGCAAGGTGCGCACTGCTGGAGTGGTGGGGATGTGAGCGCAAGCTGCTGTGGGGTAAGCTGGAAAAGGGGGGTCAAGGAGAACTTAACTTGGAGAAGGTGTAGCAACATAGCTAGGGCGTGTCCCATTTCCAGCAACAGTCGGTCACGAGAAGACAGCCTCTCTGCCTCCCAACACACACGTTACTAACACTGATCAGGGTCGACCCCATCCCCACCTGCTCTCACAACCAGCCAAACCAAACTACCAACATTGAATTTTATATCTACCACCAATTATTGTATACCTATATTATTCTATATCAATGTTGCATTGATGGTTCATGATCTGGATTTAGTGGCAATGTTCTCCGAAACTGATCCGATCATCAAGATCCGATCCTGCCGCGAAAGCGAGCCCATTCCCTATACTTCCAAGGCCATTTACAACATGAGTAAGACAATGGTGGTTCGGCAAAGCCTATTAAATTCATGGTGGGCCAGGAAGCCACACGGGCATTGAACGCTCCGCGAAACGGATCGACGCACGTTGCGACACCCTCCGGGTGAGATGGGCCGTTCGATGGGGGGAGCCGTGCCGGGCCGTCGTTGCAGGATGGACCTAGCTGTCTCGGTGGCGTGGTGCTCCTCTGTCAAGGCCCCTTAAAGGACCAGGAGGGTGGAAAGGCCTTGAAAAGGGTGAGCAAGGCCAGGCACAGGTGGTAGATTCACCATAATATGTACAGTAGTATATGATTGTTTATGATCATATGACCATGGAAGATTCTCTGAATTCTCTTTAGATAATTAGTTAATATTTGGTGATTCGAACAACCACCCCATTTCTCAGCTCAGGGTTGTGACATGGAGTTACAACCCATGAACATCCCACGTTGAGATCCCACCATGACAGGACGCATTGGATGTGTCCATCATGCCATGTAACTGGTGCGGCTTGTGCGGGAATGAGATTCCTCTGATCCCAAGCCTGGTCAGAGTCCTCGGCTTCACGTGTGGTTGATCGAACTTCGTTGGATGATTCTGAGCTCAGGAGGTTTTGTTGTTGTTCATCTCAAACTTCTCTTATGTAGACATGGTTGGAAGACTATGTTGGACATGAACTCACCTTTATGATGAAACGTTGCTTTGCCCCCATCATTCTTCAATTCGCCCTTGGTGCCAGGTGGCAAGATCTCGGTGGCTGGGGGGCCTCAGAGGACGTGTGAAGGGGCACCAAACCAAAGAGGGACCTCAGGAACTGTCGCCACCAAACCGGCTGTGAGTCGGACTGGCATGGCTTGAAGACTGGATCGTCCTGTGACTCGGAGAGGGTCAGCTTCTACATCCAAGCGGGACAAACATATACACTGAGAGGATGGCATGGAAGGATGACCATCCAAGTGGTCACCTGAGAGGATCATGTACACTCCCTGAAAACGATCATGGGCCAACATGGACGGCATGGCCCCTTTCGTTCGGATGACCATCTTCTGAAGACCGATTCCACACCATGGTGGTGAACTCCATGGTCTCCATGATTCTTTCAGGGAGGTGTAGACCTTTGATGAATCAATCCGCCAGCTGAATGCAGCGACCATCTCCAGGTTTGGCGGGGTGTTGTTACACATCAAACAGTCTACACCGGAGATGGCAGCGATGTTGTCCTGTTTTTGGGCTGATGTTGCACATCAAAGGACCTCCATTTGCTTCACCGGACGACCACCGATGTGGAACGATGGTGGACCAGAGAAGGCTTTGGGGCGAAAAAGACAACCGTGGGAGCCCAAAAGGGTGGGTCTCCAAATGTTATATTACATTCACTTATTGCTATTTTTGTATATATATATATATATACAATTAGTGTATTGTTTCTGGACTTCTACTGTACACGGGTTAGGATAGAGCCATGTTGCAAACTTTCTATGCTGGAGGGCCACTGACCGTGAACAATTCAACTCTCCGTGCATGTGAGTTGCTAACTGGTAAAGACCGTAACCTGTTGTCCTAGATCAGTTCGGGGTTGCCACTGTTGCAGCAATCAACTGCGAAGCTTTTGCAACGACTTGTGCCACGATTGTGTTTCTGTGCCTGTTATACACAGTTTGAAAACATGAAAGGTTTATCACTGTTGACTTGAAGGTGAGAAGGGCCCAAGTTTCTGTCCGTAGTGGTCTTCTCCATTCTTCTCCAACAAATGGCTATAGCAAGTATGGGATGGGTGCCACAAAGCTGGGTTGACACAGCCGGTTTCATTTTGTTTGGATTCCGTGCTAACACCTTCTATGGTTTGCTCTGGTTGGTCAGATACGGCAAAACTGAAACTGGTGTTCCTGATGTAAATTTGCCATCTACGTAGCTCCGCATAGCGACTAAGGACAACACCATCGACATGCGACTGCATTTGGCCCGGAGACATAGAGCAAGCTTGAGCTGGGTTGTGGACCTGGTAGCTGACATAGTTGGTGTTCTTAAAACCAAGAAACACACAATGTTCGGATAAAGTCTACCAGTTGACCCACTGGTCTTCGCCGCATCTGCGTGCCCTGACCGTGAATATCGAGGTCATGGAGCAGGCGAAGCCAGCGATCAGGGGTTTGCTCTTCCCCTGAGGCGCCGCCAAGACTGGGCAGTAATCGGCGGTCCACGTGGCGGTCCTGTTGGTCCGATTCGGTTCTCATGTTGGACGCGGCTGCCGGGCTGCCGGGGTGCCAGCTTGTACCAAGGGCGAGTTTCTCGAAGGAATGGAAGGGATGGTGCGGTGGTTCATGGGCTAGGAGTCTTGGTCAAAGGATGTTGTTCTTCGCCTTAGGAGATGGAATGAGTAAGCGAGCAATGGTCCACAAATTGCAGATGTAGTTGGCGGAGATGCACACGTAAATTGTTCTGATAGGCATGTGGTTACATGTGTGTGATGTTTGCAGAGGACACACGGCGATGTTAGGCACTTGGGCAGGAGGACCCGTAGAGAGCAGTCCAGTCCGCTGCGGCCTTGGCCACGGCAGGGTGCTTTGGCGCAACAAAGGCGCAAGAACAAGAATGATTCTTTTCAGGGAAGGCGCATAAGGCTTAAGGCCCATACTTTTCATGGGACATGCTCCTTTTGCCACTTTGGATTTCAGGGACAGCAGCTGCCCCACCCCCAACCTTGGAATGTCCTCGCCACGACACAGGCGAGCCGACCTCGAACTTGCTGCCGGTGAGGGGAGTGGTGTGTTACTCCGATAGGGTGGAGAGTGGGAGGTGTGGGTGACAAGTGGGAGATCCAATGGATTGGTGTCGATGTTGTGGGTTTGACACTCCAAACTCTTCTCACCGCTAGAAGGCCACCACTCGAAGTGGCAGAAATCACTCCGGTGCCAAAGCAGTTTTCAGGGGAACAGGCAGAGGACGTGTAGAGGATGGCGAGGAATGTCTGGAGTTTCTGAGTTGACCAAACCGGCTCAGGGTTGGGCGGAGAATACAGTCACCAAGCCACTTGGTCACCCAGCTTTTCCATGGTGACAGGTGGCGACCCCGCTTTTGTTGTCCAAGGGTTCTCCAAGATCAAAGGCGAAGGGTTGGGCCGATTGGAAGAGGATGCCCTCGCCTTCTGTTTTTCATCAGTTTGGAGTCGAGGAGGCAGCCGCACACATCTTCGGAGGACACAAGGGTTCTCCATTGGAACCCCTTAAGGCCCTCAAAAATCAAAACTCATTGAGCACACCGCTACGCCACCTCGTGACCTCCGTTGTGGTCCAACGCCATCGCAGAAATAATGACGTTGGGTCCGGGTGATTGGTGGGTCGCCAACCTGGGTTTTGAAGACACGCGTGACGCTCAGAATTCGTTCAGGTGCTGAATTTCACTTCGCAGGTGAGGGAATTTTGACTGGGATGGCCGAGCGTCCAAAATCAGCATGCTCGGCAGTTTTGCCCAGAGACAGGGTCCCACGGAGGCAGGGTGTGAGGCGGGGCAGGAGACCGACTTCCGCAAAATACACCAATCTGACCAGACTTCGGAAGATCTGGTGCTGTCCCAAATCAAAAGAAGAGGACCATGCAGTTCTTTTTTTGTTGTTGTTGTCAAGTTTCATTTCAGGGTCTCATCGACCTTGGGAACCGTCAAAGAGAGACACTCTGAACACATGTTTTCCTGGCCGTACCTCTTTATGCTCCGCAACCTTTTGTCCCTGCTTCTTGGCTCCCTCCACTAGCTAGCTTATGTGAAGGCGGCCTTCCAGCACGCCACGTGCGTGCGAGAGGGAGGTATTTCACAGAGCTGCAACTGAAGGAATTCCAGTTTCCAACATGTTCGATTCAAACAGGTGATGTTTCCAAGATGTTTCCAAGCGATCCCGTAAAACACAAAACACAAGAACAGCAACACGCAGGCACACATGTTGGGGGTCTATTGGGACAAAGCAACCAGAACAGTCTCCTTTCGGGGCACTGTGCTCATTTGTTCATGATGAGGAGTATTTCTGGGAATTCAAAGAGTTTCTCCATGGATGTTGGAAGAGGATGCTTGCAAATGGTTCTGCGAGCTTTCTGAAATCACAATCTCCCTCCCTTCAATTAGATTCCGTCAAGTGAGTCAGGCACACCGGTGAAACATAAGGCAGTAAGCATAATGAGCAGTCCCCCCCGTAAAATCACTTTGTTGGGAAGATAGTCTTTGACGTGTCATTCCTACCTTCAATTCCACCAGCATAGGGCATTATTATACAAACCATTCAAGTCATCAACAAGACACTGACTACAGTTACAGCCTTTGCTAAATTTGTGCTCATGCAAGGTGGATGTCGGGTCTCGTTTCAGTCTGACAAACCAGTTTGACTCCGTTTTTGAGCCTATCGACCCAATGACACCACTGCAAGATCAATGGGCAACATGGGAAAACCCAGCACTAAACAAGCAACTGTTGAGTCAATCTCTCTTTGATTGCAGTGATTTCGGTTGATGGTTCACCGCGGTGGTGGACCTGACCGTGGGTGTCTCACACGAGCGGCGAGCGCCGTTGATGGGGAAAGCCTTGGCCTGCCACCAGGGATCACTTGGGGCTTTGACTCAGCGAATCACCACAACACTTGGGGGACCTCGACAGGGCACAAAAAGGCGATGTGGTTAAAGAATGCAAGTCGATGTAGTAGGAGATTGGGAGACATGTCAGGTCTACCAAGTTTTTGTTGTGGCCTCCAGGTTGTAGCCCACAGCGCGTGGTACGCTTCCTCTACCTACTGATGTTTTTGATAGTTTTTGGGGGTACTCATGGCCGTTGCTGACTTGGGTCTTGGTTTGGACAAGCCCCGACTGCAATTGGACAAAGGACCAAGGACGTCACTAGTGCCATGGGAGTCCTTTATTGAATCCAGTCACAACCGCAGGTTGCGTGACAAAGGGGGCGGCCGGCAGATGTCTCTTTGATTCTTGTTGGTCCTGATCCTAACACCGACTCAAGGCCCCGATTTGAGCATTTGTCCAGGGGGACTGGCACCCGACTAGCCAAGACAAAGACCGTCTGGCCAAGACTCAGCGGCCCGACGACGAGCGCAGGGACGGCTGGTCTCTTTTATTTTGTGGATGGAAAAGGGATGCAGGGACGGAAGCTCGATTGGTGGGGACCGGGTCCGGAAGACTTAGGAAAGAAAATGCCTGTTGCGAAACGCCAAGCGCAGACGGGTCGGATGCGAGTTTTATCCAATCAGGGGGATCCGTCCACAGCCATCAACTTGGCATTGCGTCAAGTTCATTCTTTGAACACTTTTCAGTCGGGCGTCAACGTGTACGATTTTGAGCAGTTGCGACCCGTACTCTGAGGGGCTACAACATTTGCATGTTTCTTTCGAGCAGTTTAGATTGTTGGCATGAATGGGCTTGAATATTTTTGAGTTGGCGGACAGTCCAAGTACAATCTGGCAATCAAAGCCAAAGCATGGTCGAGAAAGCCTTCCTGAGCCGTATAGTCTGGTTGCATTTCTGAGCCATGCTCCTTCGTAAACTCAATCACTTGCTTTGAATCTTCCACTCCCACATACCTGGATCATTCACCAGGTGATTTTTGGTAGTAAAAAGTGTTGCGCGGTGCTCACCTGGCCTATTCGGGAGACACCCGGCCACGCATCCCAGGCATCCCGCCGACCACTTTGCTTCCCCTTCGTTCCAACGAGCGAAACACAACGTCACGACACGTCGAGAGAAATGAATGGCCCTGAGGTGATCGGCGCAGCAAGGAACGACGGAAACGGCGCGAGGCGAGGTGGGATGATGTGGGAAAGCTTTCGGGGGGAACCTGTATCGGGTGGTTCATGGTGGTTCTGGAGGCGTCTCTGGGAGATCAAACGTCTTTCTGGATCAGCAGGAAGAACAGTTTATGGATATTTGCGTCGGGGTGGCTTTTGGAATACTCTTTGTGTTCGCCTCACCCACAACTCTGTGAGTTTTTGGTTCAGTCATTGACTCGGCTCGTCTGGTCAAGTTATATTGTCTTCTGTAGCAAGAGGGCCATGTCCGGCTTCTCTGTGAGTCTCAGAAGGTATTTCAGTCTCTTACACAATGGGCATCTTAAATCAAGTGCTCATGGATTCCATGCTTGCTCCATACAATGAGTCTTGCCGCTTGCAAACTTCACTTATCTAACGCGACACCTTCCCAACCTATTCTCGCCACCCTGGAAGGCATCCCGGTCTCGCAGCCGCCGTCGAGGCTGGGCCATATAATGGTTCCACACCATTCGACAATCCTTTGATTCAGACTAGGAGCAAGGACGCTACTAGGAACAAAAGGCATCGCTACTAGGAGCAAGGACGCTAATTACTAGGGGCTCGGGAGGCTTAATTGGGAGCAGAGGTTGCTATTATGTAACACCAGCGGCAAGGAGCTCCACGAACAGACTTTGGCCATGTTGCTCCGCGGAGTGCACGACCATGCTTTTCACTTCAAGGGCTCCCTATAATATGCACCGCAGACCGAAACGGAATGCAGAGCATGCTCCTTCTTTGTGAGAGAGGATCATCATGCGATGAATAGCCCTCTAATTGTTTGCACTTGTTGCCGAAAGCTTTGTTCTACTGTATATTCATTCGCGCTCTTTCAACATATTAGGTGGGGCCAAATGATCTGACTTCGTTTGGCCAGTGAGAGAATCCCTGAAAGAATCCCCATGTTATCAGGTGGTGTGGTGGATTTCTCCCCTGAGAACTGCAAACTCCCCAAGATCTCGGGATGGGTCAAGAGTTGGGGGACCCCACGAATGAGAGCACAAGTCCATTTGAGGGTTGTGCTGGGGTATCTCCCAGCAGCTCGCTCCTTGTCACACTCTCATAGGGTCAAGCGGTTGATACCGCACACGAGCGGCTCGGTCCTCCAATTCTCACGCAGGTCCGAGGGTCCAAGGAAGTGTACTGAGATGCGGCCCCAGATCCCTCAAAGCTAACCCTCCTTCCAAAAACCATGAGGATCCCCTCCTTCCTGGCACCTCCACATGCCTTGCAGGATCCCGGAGTCGACGAAGATAGCTGGCTTAGTGCGCTTAGTGCGCTTAGTCGGCCGAGCAGTTTACGGCGGGGTGGTGCATCAGAGCAAACGGTCAAGAACAAGAGGCCTGTGACGGCCTGTGATGCCAACAGCACTTT